TAGAGACAAGCCATACACTGCTTTCGAGGCGAACGGTCAACTATATCAATTTCGCAGGATTCCTTTTTGGCGTTTAATGGGGTAGCCAGCTTCCAAAGGATAGTCGACCAAATCATAACGGATGAGAAACTGGAAGGCACATTTGCGTACATCGACAACGTCACAGTATGTGGCCATAATAGAAAGGAACATGACGAAAATCTCAGACGGTTCATGTCCGCCGTTGATAAATACAACCTTACCCTAAACGACGACAAATGCTCATTTGGACTGGACAAAATAAACCTACTGGGGTATACCATAAGCAAAGGTTTTATGGCACCGGACACAGATTGATTGAAACCTTTACTCCAGATGCCTGTCCCTCACAACCAGCCTTCCCTTCGACGTGCTATGGGCATGTTTGCTCATTACTCTCAATGGATTGCTTCGTTCTCAGAAAAGATACATCTATTGACACAAGTAGAGACATTTCCTCTGTCCCATCAAGCCGTTGAGGCATTCGAGGGACTGAAAAAGGATATTGCAAAATCTGCAATTACAACAATAGACCAAAATATTCCTCTGGTTGTTGAAACGGATGCGTCAGACTGTGCTATTGCTGCTTCTTTGAAACAAGCTGATCGTCCTGTAGCCTTCTTTTCAAGGACCCTCTCACAGGCTGAACGACAACACCCCGCAATTGAAAAGGAAGCCTACGCCATAGTCGAGGCATTAAGAAAATGGCGACACTACTTGATCGGACGCCATTTTAAACTTATTACTGACCAGAAATCAGTTGCTTTTATGTTCAACTCTAAAACTACGAGTAAAATAAAGAATGAGAAAATAGCGAGGTGGAGAATTGAGCTATCTTGTTTCTCCTTTGACGTCAGCTACCGACCTGGCAAGGAGAACTTAACAGCTGATACACTGTCAAGAGCATGCTGTATGGCATCAAGCGGGGACGAACTCCGAACGCTACATAACAATCTCTGTCACCCGGGCATTACTCGAATGGTTCATGCTGTGAGGTGTAGAAACTTGCCTTTCTCAGTAGAGGAGATAAAAAATTACAAATTCTTGTCGAACGTGTGCTGAAATAAAGCCTCAGTTTTATAAACCCCAAACTGGCGTTTTAATAAAAGCAACACAACCGTTTGAAAGACTCAATCTTGATTTTAAAGGACCGCTACCAAGTAAAACAAGGAACAGATATATATTAACGGTTATCGACGAATATTCACGGTTTCCTTTTGCCTTCCTTGTTCAGACATATCGGCTGCTGCAATTATACAATGCCTCTGCTCACTGTTCGCCATCTTTGGAGCCCCTGCCTATATACATTCGGACCGAGGGGCTTCTTTCATGTCAGAGCAGCCGGCAATTTCTACAGGAATGAGGAGTAGCTATAAGCCGGACAACTCCCTACAACCCTAAGGGTAACGGCCAATGCGAAAGATATAACGGCATTATTTGGAAGACCGTTCAATTGGCTGCCTCAGATAATGGATGTTCAATTGATAATTGGGAAAATCTCCTTCCTGTCGCATTATCGCCATTCGTTCCCTATTGTGTACCGCCACCCCCCACGAAAAGGTTTCTACCTTTTCAGTGACGGAGTTCGGCGGGGAGCTTCGCTTCCATCTTGGCTCTCTCGACCCGGTACTGTGTTTCTGAGACGACATGCACGTTACACCAAGAACGATCCCTTGGTGGACGAGGTAGAGCTTATAGATGCGAACCCTCAATGCTGGCTTAGTCACGACATGCAGATGGTAGAGAGTCTAATGTGTCTCTCAGGGACCTAGCACCGGCCGGAGACGTACCTGGACCGTGGATAGCCCCTGAGGACAGATCAACTACCCCTGACACTGAAGCCCCTCCAGAAGATCATGGCACTGAAATTGTTCCTGACACGCCGTCTGACGACACTGTCTCCGTTGAGGCCCCGTCAGACACTTCGGATGGGCCAACACCCGAAACCCTGACAGATGAAGGGCTAGCACCGAATAAACGTGTTCATCCAGAGACTGACTCTGACGCGGAACGGCCTGCTCCTCTGAGAAGGAAACATTTCGGAGCAAGGTATTTTAGAGCCCACAGACAGGCTCGCACTGAAGAGCCTCCCTGTTCAAGTACTCCGACCATGAATCATGGACTGCCGAGGCGGCCACTGCGAACTCGTAGGGAGCCTGGACATTTAAGGGACTTTCTTCCCTATCAGTGAGAAATTTGGTGGGGGAGAATGTTGTGAATATGGATTAGATAATCCAAGCTATAAAAGCTATATACTTCCGCTGTCAAGTCAGATGAGTAGTAGTATTCTTAATTGAATAAACGATTACTAGACAGAATCTCTTGTCCTGTTTTCATTACAATTATTATATAAATAAATAAAAATTATTGGAAAAGGTTCTTTATTGCAGAATTATTGCTAAATAAAATTAGGTAAATGTTGTTAAAGCTGAGATGAAAATTATTTAAAATACAACAATAGATGACCAATATCCAATTAAGAAACAAGAAACTGTAACTGATTTTGTTAATACAGATGGCAGTCAATTTTTGTGACCACCTTATCAGAAGCCAGATCAAATACTTCCTGTATTAAGTTGTAACAATATTTATCATTTATAGTCCATGTCTTAAAAATTTGTTCTTTTTGTTTTATGTTTTCAAAAGTTAAAAAATATGAAAAAGTGAATGACAAATACCATATGATATTTCACTTTATTTATTAAAGAAGAAATAATGTAAAAATAATATTTTTCAAAAAGTGAAAAAAGATCTTTGCTCCTATTACCTACTCTTTCACTCATATCCCACACTTCATTCATCATTACCATTTTAGCAGTAACACTCTACTGGCTCTGACACTTTGTATTAAGTGAATTTTAGTATAAGAGGTATGGCAGAGTAGTGGATTGTGGTTCAGATTGAGGAATTAGAGAGCCTAGTTCAAATTCCAGCCGAGTTCATTACATTCACTTACATGCTAATATCCTTGAGAAAGGTAGCTATGGTTAAATATTAGGACAGACTGGGTTATATAGCCTTGGGTGAGAATGAGAAAAAGAAAACATTATTAAGGAGCGAGAACAAGAAATTAACAGGAATTAAGAAGACAGAAGATAATGATTGATATTGCCTTTAAATTTTTGAAGATCAAAGTTAACTGGGAAGCAAGAAGCCAGAAGAAAGTTCCACAAGTGAGAAGTGCAAGAGAAGAAACTGTTAGAATAAAACTTACAGTTACATCTAAACAACTCAACTTGTAAATTGATGAGACCTTGCTGCCAATCTAGTTAATAAGTTAAGTCCATAAAGTCTAGGTACCATAAAGGAAATTTCATTCGAAAAATTACCATGAAAATATGTATAGAAAAGGCACAGGGAAGCCATGTTACAGCAGTGGGAAAGTGACTGAAGATGATGATTATTACTATCATATATTACTATAACATGTGAGTTCTGTCACACAATTCTTGTTACATTTACATACATATTTCATAGACTAAATGCAACATTATAGGACAAAAGTTGTATTAAATTCTATTACATAAAATATAAATTAATACAATATTAATAATACATTGTAAATTGGACTGAAATCAAGCATAAAAATAACGTCAATTTAATTTTGGCTTCTCATTTCAACATTTTATATAATTTTTATTTTGAAATATTAAAAAACAACATTTCTATGAACAACTCTGCTAAATTTCTTTTCACAGATTATTTTTCAGAGTTATTTCCCTTTGAACTATTCCATTTATGAGAGTGCATTTTTATTTACTTTTTATTAGATCAACCATTATTAGTTTTTCACAAGTATTTTAATTTCATTTTTATTCATCCTGTTAATCTAGAGTAATGAGTAGACAGTGAAGAATCAGAAATAAAAGATAAGATCTCCATGAGAAAAAACAAAACATTAAAATGAAAATACTTGTTAAAAATGGATGACACTGCATCATCTAATAGAATTAAAATAAAAGTAATACACTTACTATGAATTCTACTCATAAAAACCAAAACGAATAGCGCACCAAGTGAGATCATGGGGTAGGGTAATAGGCTTAAATGTTAGAGGTTAGAGGTTAGATGTGGTATTTTGCAAATTTCTCAAACTTGCAGAAGGACATACAGCAAGGCTTTCTTGAAGCAAAAAGAACCAAGTTCAAATCTCACCAGGACCTTATACTTTATTTCTGATCTTCTGCTGTCTATTCACGGCAGTAGATTGACAGCCTAACTAAAGTAACAATAGAAAGCAAGTAAAAGATAAAAATGAAAGTAAGTTCTAAGTAAAGTAAGTAAGTAAAAAGTAAATTAAGTTATAAGTAAAAATTGATAATAATTGATATTTATTTTTTTACAAGCAAGGCAATAATGATACTAAGATGCAAGGGGTTACTGAGTGTTAGAGAAAATGAGGAAAAATACTATTAAGGAGAGAGAACAAGAATTAAGAAAACAGAAGGTAATGATTGACACTGCAATTAAATTTTTGAAGATCAAAGTTGACTGGGAAGTAATAAGCCAGAAGAGAATTCCACAAGCAAGAGAACTTACGGTCACATCTAACTATTTCAGCTGTAAAATGATGAGATCTTGCTGCCAAAAACTCATAAAATCTTGGCACTGTAGGTTATCCCACATGATTACACATTTTGATTAAAAAAAAACGTTCCTTAAGCCTATAAAAATGCATGCATTTCTCTTCCTAGCCTCTTTTACAGCTTTGTAGCTCTGGTTATAAGATTTAGTTGCATGTGGGTAAACAGTCATTTTCATGGATTTCCCCTGACATTTGTACACACTCACACAGGCTTATGTACACACACAAACAAACACATTCTTATTATAGCCAGTTTCATATTTTTTCCTTTTGTCACAGTAGCATAGAGGAAAGTTCATCAGAACAATTACTATGAAACTACTTATAGAAAACTATTAAATTTAGATTGAAGTTACCTTGACAGCAAAACATTTCTGAGTGCGCATATTCAACAAACCTCTGAGATATTTGGTGTCTTCATGAATAATGCTGTCTATTTTGGCTTTCATAATGCCTATTCTTGGATCTTCAAGAGCCTGGAAAAATCAGAAATTGCAACAGTAGACAAAAGAAGTAGCTAAAAATTTCAGTAATATTTAAAGTAAAGACAATTGCTTTCAGACAGGTTATCCACAATTTTGATCACAATGCATAATACATTATATAAAAATTGGAAAAGTCCAATAAAAAATTAAATGGACAGACTTTGTTGGTTCTTTCAGGAATGGATTAAATCTGACATATTTTTTATTTATTTGTTTAAATGTGATTTTTAATGGATATTCATATTTGAGTAGAGTCTCTGTTTTTTATATTTGTTTATTAAACGATATATTAATTTAAATCCCCCTACCAACCAGAATATCTGAGGAAAAATACAGAGAATCCATTCTAATATGAGTATCCATAAAAATAACATTTAGACAAATAAATTTAAAAAATTGTCTTTGTTTAAGTTAGGATATAAAATAAAGCAGATATGTATATTTCGAGAATCAGGAAAGGTATGTGTTCACAAGCACTATTCCAGCTTTGTTTGAGTGGGATATGGCTGAGAGGTCAAGACATGTCAGATCTAATGACAGTTTTCTCATGGGGGCACAAATTTGAATTCTGCCAGAGGGCACATATTTTTCTAACAAGATTTCTCGAATATTCAGGCCAATAGATGGAAATAAATAAATATACTGTTTAATAAATAAATATATAAAATAGAGCATCTACTCAAATATGGTTATCCATTAAAAATAATGTTTAAATAAATAAATTATATATATATATATATATAATATCCAATGGCAATAACATGACTCAGAGTTTCATGTAAAGGTTAATGGTTTGCATGAAACTCCCAGTTTTTGCTATCGATGCTGGATATTATGTATATACACTTATATATACTTAATAGCTCTGTTATATAACATTGAGCATGTACATGCAAGTATATGTACATATATGCATGTTTTTTATCATACTCATATCTATATATATTATGTTACGTCTATTCAACCACAGCTCTATTAGAATCCATTTAAACACACATACACAAAACTTATCAGAATCCATCTGAAACATACTAGTAGAAAATGCAAACATAATAAACTCATCCACATGTAAAAAATGATTAAAAATAATGGAAGCCTTAATAATAAAAGACAAAAAGCCAAAAGCCAACACTTAATAATATTAACTATGAACACAGCCACAATGTCCTGTGTTCAGAAAATAAAGCATCCCAATAACTCTAGAAATATACACGCAACCCATACACCCAATTAAAAAGTAAAAATAAAATCATCCTTGATAATGGCTAAAAGTATAGCTGAAAGCTCTTGGAATTACAGAACATTTGGACAGTTTCTACACACTGTGTCCAGAAAAGAAAACACTTGTCTGAACACAAGAAAAATTAAATAAAAAGCTTAACTGTAGGTAGTACCTAGTCTGTTGTCTTTAATAAAACATGTATAAATGGAGAATTTCTGTCTAAATACACAATTATATATATATATATATATATATATATATATATATATATATCCCCACACTAGATTCTCCCATCATTTTCAATGTATGAGGGTACATCAAATCAGTTCTTAGAACTGAATAGCCAAGACTATCCACACATATGATTTGATTATAGTGAAGTCTTGTGCAGAACCAACATCACTTTTTGGAAGAGTCAAATACAGAGAACTAGTGGACGCTCTGTGCCACAAGTTCCCTAAACAACCCCTGTTATGTTTTGAAACCAGATTTTTCCTTCTCCTAGACTGGTTACCACCCAAGGCTATAGAACACAGTCTATCCTACTATTTAGCCATAGCTGGAGGAAGAAGTGTTTGAATAACTTGTTTCTCCCATCTCATGCAGAGCTTTTTTGGCAAAACATCACATCATACACATCCCTCCTAAACCAAGATTGGGTCCCATTGTTTTCCTACAGAAACAACTAAAATGGATAGCACTTGTAACTCAAGGAGAAAATAATAACATAATCAAGAAGTTAACATTCCACACCACTTCAAATAGAAGGTTCAGAAAAAAAAACAAAAAAAACTCATCAATACTGGAAAGAGTGATAAAAGCTACTGGACTTGAGAAACAGGTTTTTCTAAAAAAAGTATTTTAAGAGAAAGATTTTTATAAATTTGTCTGCTCAGCCAATGAATGCCAAAGGTTTCCTTGTAGGGAAACAGTTAATATTACCATTACCATTTGCACATAAGTGAATGTAACTTAAAACTTGCCTTTCTAATTCTTCAATCCAAGCCACATCATGCCTCCCTATATACATACATAAGTGGACATTGATGTCATCACAAAATTTCATGCTTGAATGCAGTCTTCATGGCCTGAAAATTGTGTTCAAGTGTGAAATAGATTGTTGGCACTTGGTGTTGACCTCAGTGTCCACTTTTATATTTACATATGCACACTACCTAATAATTAGTTGACAGGAACCAATCAACTAATCATCAATGTTTACAATCTCACTTCCCCCAACACACACTAGTACCACTAAATCAGCCTAGCACTTTTATACTGATCAAAATTTAAATTTATTATCTAATTATTCTACATATATATAAAATATCAGCAGTAATTTCTGTTGATTCTATATGTATAGCTTACTTGATCCCATACTATATAAATTGCTGACAATGTTATGTTTATACTGAAATTATCATTACGTTGTTTTTCTTATGAAAAAATATATTAAACATTTTTCACATTTGTCTGACACAAATTCCATCCTGATCAAATAACATTTAAATATTGCTCTAACCTTGGAATAAGCTTTGAAAAGTGTATTCTCTGATAGTTTCAGTGCCTGTCGCAATGAGCCTACCATTTCCAAGACATGCTTCAAATGTATAATGTTTGTGATCTTGTTTTCAGCTGTTTTCATTGTTTCTTGTTTTGGAAGCTGGACACACAGGGAGAGAAGATGGTCAATGTCCAGAAATCTCTTGAGAATAGATTGTAGACTGTAAAACAGGTCTTCATTCTCAGTCAGTTCACAAACTACAGACTGTCGCAGAGTTATTGTTTCAACATCTAAGAAACAAGAAAAATATATATATATAGAGAGAGAAAAGAAAATTTTGGCAAAAATGAAATCAAACTGTAAATCAATGAAAAAGAGGACCTAGTTAACTAAATTTAGAATTGTGCAAAAAAAAGTTCAAAGTATTTCTTTTTAATGCTAATTGTTTACCCAATACAAGGCTCAAGAGTTACTCAAAGTAGAAGGTTACAGAATGAGGTTGTTGCATGAATACAAGAGGAGGATATAAGCAGAACAGGTTATGAGGCTATATAGGTAAAGTAATAACTGACTCTAGATTTAAGAGATTAAAATTAAGGAAGCATCTTCTTGGGAGTCTATTCCATAAAGTAGTAGTTCTTAGGAAGAAGCTGTCTGAATGGAACTTACCCTCTTACAAAATGAATAAAAAAGGAATGGGGGGGGATGATTTGTCCAAGTGTACATGCATGGTGGCTCTTAACTGTTAAGGTTAATAAATATATAAATATGAAAATATGAACGCAGATATTGAAGTCAACACCCAGAGGTGACAGTCTGTTTCCTGCTGAACAAAATTCAAAATTGTTTATCATGAAACAGACTGTCAACTCTTGGTGTTGACTACAATGTCCACTTTTACATATATATATATATATATATATATATATATATATATATATATATATGTATTAGCTATCTAGGTATGCATCTATTCACATGCATCAAATGCAATTATATATCTTTTGTCATTTTTTTTTTTAAATTTAGAATTGATAGAATCAAAGTGGTAAGAAGTTGACTAATTTGATTTCTTACAGTGATCTCTTTTATCAAGATTACGTAATTTAAATCTAGCTTTTAAGAAGTGTAGTCAATTTATCTGACATTTTCAGCTTCAAAGAGATCTTGAAAATTAATTTTGATCATGTAAATTAGAGAGAAGTGCTGTTAAGAGTTGTATAACTGCCAATCCTTTGTAGCCTCAAGGTCATCATGACAAAGCCAGGATGTCCTAACTTACCTGATGAACATGAATTTAAATTTTGGACATGGTGAATTTAGTGAAATGCTCTTATCTTCATTGATTGTCATTTTTTATGTTTCAACTCATTCATTTTCCAGCCATCACCAGTTTTAAATTTTACAGTTGTGAACTAGCAGGGATGAATTGTCACACAATGCAATAACAATAAGAGAATAAGACTACTTTTAACTATACAAAAATTCTATTTGAAGAGAGAGAGACAGAACCTACTAAATTGTGCTGCCTCAACCTTCCAAGTGAGAAAATCCTGCGTGCGCTGAATATCAGCATCCAAAATTCTGAGATAGAGGAAGTATTATTTATTTAAACTCTCAAGCTCAGCCCAGATTTCTTAAATCAAAGATTATTAACATTCACTAAAATTAGCCTTGTATAGTATCAAGTAAAACTAGAGATATTGTGCTGCTTCAATTTTCCAAGTGAGAAAATCCTAAATGCCTTGAAAATTAGTATCCAGAATTCTAGCTTTATTCCTGGACCTTAATATCAATCTGACTGGAAATGTGCAACCCATGAAGAAGGCCAACTGTTACTCTATTTGTTAATATATATTAAACTTAGCCTGGCACAAGGTAAAAAAAAAGGAAATATATACTAGCTAGAAGAATGTACTGTATTAGTATTCTACATCAATAGTGTCTGCCTTGTAAACCAGTATTTAAAACCTTAGCTTTTAATTCAAGACTGATGCTGATGAGGGGAAGTTCCTAACCATTTCACTCATCTAACAGGTCATACACAATTCCACTGTTGATAGACCATATCAGATATCTCCCTGGTCTTTTGAACAATAGTGGAGTTTTATACCTTGTTTCCTGTTTAAGACTGGGTTTCTGCTTCCTTCTAATTCTACTTCAACTCTATACTTATAACATCTCCACTTAAACTCTGAAACTTATACTATTATTGAGTTTCTTGTTCCTTCTAAAGTCTAAAGTCTTCTCTTTCACTTCCAGTAGCCCCTTGCATCTTAGTGGCATTATTGGCTTTCTTGGGGTGAATTGACTAAAAGAGAATACAAGACATCTTCTCTATTTACATTTAATATTAGACTATTATGAAGTTTGGTACAAGTACTGGTTGTTTACACCATCTTGTTTAACAATAACTCAAATTTACATGTTTGACTTGATAAATACCTTGTAGCCATTTAAAAAAAAATAAAATAAAAATAACAGGCCTTATATGCAAGCAAATATGGAAAACTAAACCTACATTATTCGGATACAAAGTTAACTAACTGGGGAGAAATACTCTAGGAAGTTGAAGTTCAGCCAATCGATGGATGAATTTTCATCTAAATTACACAAAAATGAAAATAACAGTGATATTTCAATTTTAACAAATATATTTACCAAAATTATACAAAAATATCTTGAAATACTCAAGAGTAAATTTATTCAATTAAATCGTCATTGGCTTCAACTACAGCCTCTAGATGACTTCAGAATCTCCTGCAACTCTTCTGGATGACCTCTTTGTTTAAGTTGGTGAATGCTTCCATAATCCTTGCCTTCAGTTCAACTTTGGTGTTACAAGGAGTTTTGTTGGTCTCTCACTTAACTGTGCCCCACATATAATAATCAAGACAGATAGAGAGACAGATAGAGAGATAGAAATAGAAAGGCAGATAGAGACAGAAAAACAGATAGAGATATAGAGATAGAAAGACAGAGAAAGAAAGAAAAAAGGTAATCTTTGTCAGGCCGACCTAGTAAATGTCAACACCATATTTGGAGCACTTAGCAACAATCTATCCATCACACCCTGTAGAAAGATAGAGATAGGGAGGTAGAAAGATTAAGATAGGGAGGTAGAAAGACAGATAAGGTAGATAGGTAGATAGATAGATAGATAGATAGATATAGAGAAACTGAGAAAGAAACAAAAAGGTAATCTTTGTCAGGCCTGCCTAATAAATGTCAAAGATAGAGATAGAAAGATAGAGAAAGGGAGACAGATAGAAAGACAGACAGAGAGATAAAGATAAAAAGAGAGATAGAGACAGATAGAGAAATAGAGGCAGGTAGAGAGATAGAGATAGAAAGACAGATAAAGATAGAGAGACGGAGATAGAAAGATGGATAGAGAGATATAGACTGAGAAAGAAAAACAAATAGAGAGATAGATATAGAGAGACTGAGAAAGAAAATCAAATAGAGAGATAGATAAAGAGAGACTGAAAAAGAAAGAAAAAAGGTAATCTTTGTCATGCCTACCTAGTAAATGTCAAAGTCATATTTGGAGCACTTAGGACCCCCACCCAATTTACATTTAACAGTTATAGAGTTAGATTAGTTACAAACACTGGCAATCTATTGAGTCTAGATAAGCATTGGCTGATTTGATAGTTTAACATCAGGAATTATAAGACCCAGGAATTATTTTTTTTTAGGGGGGGGGGAAGGAAGGTCTCATAAGGCATCAATTATAGAAAATTAAACTTTGCTTAGTACAAAGCCAAATAATAAGGGAGAAATATACAAGTAGGTAGATTATGCTCTATCAATCTTTCAAGGAAGGTAAGCCTGATTAACAAATAAGAGGTTAACTTCATATCTCTTTTATGATTCATAATTAAAATCAGTTTTGAAATATGTTAACTTTAAATAGTCTGAAAAAAAATAAAAAGTGACCCACCTGATGGGGGTTGTAAAATATTGGCTCTAAGCATGCGGCTCCCTCCAGTTGTTTTACAGTAATTCATGATTCCAAAGAGTGTATGATCACTTTTTGCATCTCGAAGGTTCTGGACTAATTCTAGATTCTTTGCAGTTGTCACATCTGAAAAGATAGAAATAAAGTAAATGTGATGCTAGATTATTTTCCTTGTGTCTCTTTCTATGTCAAAGTACTTAATCCAGTAGTGATATTATTCAGTAAAAATTTCAAATCAAAATTCATGTAATAATTACATATCAAGCTATAAACTTATTGATCCACCTTTGTATATACATAGCTACATCTCAAAGTACAGAGCTTAATAAAGACATCTTTTGACATAATCTCCTTCACTGTTATTGTATTTAAGCATTGAGTAATTGAACATGGCTAAGTGTAATCAGCAAAATGGTCAACCATCAGAATTAACAAAGTTCTCAAACACAAAAGTTCACAAAATAACAATGGTGTTCACGTGGAAAAATGGGTACAGTCTGACTTTAAGACAAGAAAGAACAAAAAAATATGGTGGATAAGACAGAGAAGTGGTCTATTTTTATTGGTTAGGAAGAAATCCCAGCATGCATCAGTAAGATTTGTCTATAAGTTTGGGAAGGGTGGGATGTTCGTAGCAGTCATTCCCAACTGGTTGAAATACAGAATATTACAGACAGAGTAAATAGTATATACTGAAAATTTCAGATTAAAATAATTGTACCTAACCATAAATTTACTGATGCCATCTTGTACTCATAAAAATACATATATATCTATCTTTATGTATATATCTATTTATCCATATATATATATATATATATATATATATATATATATATATATGTGTGTGTGTGTAATGATAATATTAGTAATCACTATATAGTTTCAATTGTATACAAAAAATATCATCAATTTTCCAACTTTCATCATATTTCTTTTTCTTTTATTATGTCTTTTCAACTGTCACCATTTAAGTAAGCATTCTTTTTTCGATTTGTATCTTATACTAGGTCACCACATTTACACTCTGGCACATCCGTTTATACAACTGAAATTAACTTCTATCCCTCTCATTTTCAAAATTTAAATATTTTCACTGTTTCCTCCTCTTTCTTAATAC